ATGCTGTATCCTTATCGGAGGAGGGCTGAGGCAGAGGATCGTGGGCCCCAGGAGTTGAGGTTGAGTGTGAGCGGGCTGACGCACGCACACTTTAAGCCCGGGCAACAGAACCAGACTCTGTCTCAAAAAAAAAAAAAAAAAAAAATCTCTGTATAATGAAGTTATTGCCAATCCTTATCTGACAATCAGCAATTTAAGTGGTCTCTGATAAACAGCAATCGTACAAAGTCATAGCAGTGGCATTTGCTATTGGTCCAAATCTACCGGTTAAAGAAAATGTTGCAAGGGACGATTGAAAGGAATGAGAATCCATCGGGTGACAGGATGTTAAATAGGAGCTATTATTTCATTCCCATTTTGACAGAGGCCAGTATAGTGTCGACTTCTCTCACATTCCAAATGAAGTGCTGGATTGCCAGGTAGGATTTGCAAAGGAAGCTTCCCTAACTTCGTCTTTTTTTTTTTTTTGGAGGCAGAGTCTCACCCTATGTCACCCGGCTGAAGTGCCTGTGTGTAGCTCCCTCACAGCAATTCCAATCCGGGCTCCGCGATCCTCTGCCTCAGCCTCCAGAGTGTTTGCATTACCAGGTGTGAGCCACGCGCCCGCCTGGGTGAAGTTTTGTTAAAATTTTTTTGCTTGTCCAGACTAGGCTACTGAAATAGACTGTATTTTTTTTTTTTTGAGAAGAGTCTCGCTTTGTTGATCCAGGCAGACGGAGTGGCGTGGCACTACAGCAACCTCACATCCTTGGGCTCCAGCGATCCTTCTGCCTCAGCCTCCCGGAGTAACTGGGGACTACAGGCATTGCGCACGATGCCCGGTAATTTTTTAATTACATATTCAGTTGGCCAATTAATTTCTTTCTTTATTTAATGTAGAGACGGCGGTCCGCTCTTGCTCAGGCTGGTTTTGAACTCTGACCTTGGCAATCCGCCCACCTCGGCCTGCCAGATGAGCTAGATTAAGGCGTGCGCCACCTGCGCCGGCGCCAGAGGCCTTTTTAATATTTTGAGAATCACCTAGAAAGTCACAGGGCCTATGCGTTCATTCATCTACGGGGTAGGAGAACTAGGCCCCTGGATCATATCTGAACAGGTGTGAATGGAAGAGAATAGAACTGTTTTCTGACTGTACTCATGAGTCAGCTGGTCAATTATAGCTATGCATTTCAGTTAATGCATTTTTCATACCTTAAACCCTTCTGGCACTTACCTGGATTTCTAGTGAGTGATGTGTCAAGAAATCCCCTTTGTGTGTAGGTAAATTATAATTTAAGTTTTCCAAGAAGAAAGTAGATATAAGGGTACTGGATTGAAATAACTGAGAATCGAAATCTTGGTTTAACCTTCTATTAAATAGTTGTACGCGGCAGTTTCCTCATCTGTAAAGGGCTCACATAAGATGATCGCTAAGCTCTCTGTCAGTTGCAAAATTCTATCTGGAAAGGCAGATCCCAGGTTAAGGACCACCCTTTCGGAACCTGCCCCACCAGGACAGCAGCCTTCAGAGCGGCTTGTCTGCCACAGAGATTACTGTAGGGGATTGGAGTGATAAGGAAAAATTATTTGCAAAACGAGGTGCTGACTGGTGCTAGGTATTACCATTCCCACCTTCCTCTTTCAGTGGGAGTGAAGAGTTGCAAAGCTATCAGTGACTGGTATTCAGAGGGCAAGCTTCAAATAAAAACCAGTTTCCATGTTCTGAAATGCCCTGTTAACTCTATTTTCTCTATTTTTAACTAATAGATTGCTGTTTGCTGCAAGAGAATAAGCCAAAAGAGTGTGAACAATTTTTATTGGGGTCAATCCTGTCCTTGAACTGTTTGCCAACATGCATTAAGATTATGGAGGGCATCCATTATTTATGTGATTAAAAAGAAATTCTAGAAAGCAACTTCTGAGCCTTACTGAGGCTTTGAAAAGCCTTTTAGGCTCCTGCAATCCAGCTACAGTTTGTCTTGTTCCTTCCCTGCACCTCAAGGGCAGTAGAAGTCAAGAAAAGCTCTGGGAGCTGCAGGGAGCCTCCTAAAGCTTGGGGTGTTTGTATGCCCGACCTGGGGGAACAGAGCTTACCATAAACACAAAAAGACCATCTCAGCAGTTGGCTCCTTTACACAAACATCAATCAATGATGGAGGACCAACCACATAGCTAAGCATAGCACCTCCCAACTTAAACAAACAGCAAGTGGCTGAGTCATAATCACAAGTACCACCCACAACTACAGGAGGAAAGCTGGGGGACTCAACTCACTATGTGCTGTTGGGAAGAGGTGAAGACAGCAGGTCAGAGGTAACCCAAGAGGTATACCAAACTTTCTAGAACACCCCATAGGCAACTCAGGATCAGCACTCCTCTCCCTGGCATGCTCATGGATTGATCTTTAGGGACCAGAGACAGGCTCATAAGCCAGTCCTAGCACCCCCAGGTCTCAATCAAGAGGCCATATGAAAAGGAATCAGTGAAAGAACTCCAGAAACATGAAAAAAATGGAGTGAACACCCCCTAAAAGAAAACAACTCCTTACTAATGGATACCAACCAAAACAAAGAGATTGAAATGACAGATGAAGAATTTTGAATATGGACCATAAGGAAGTTCAATGAAATACAAGAAAAAATACAAACCCCAACACAAAGAAACCACAAAAACAATGCAAGAAAAGAATGAAAAATTTACGAAAGAAATAGAGTTATTTTTAAAAAATCAAACCGAACTTCTGGCTAAAAAATTCATTCAAGGGAATACAAAACATAATGGAAAGCTTTAAGAATAGGCTAGATCAGGCAGAAGAAAGAATTTCAGAGCTTCAAGATAACATCATTGAGTTAAACCAGTCAGTCAAAGAGAAAGAACTGAGAAATGAGAGGAATGAACAAAACCTACAAGAAATATGGGATTATGCAAAGAGGCCTAACATAAGAATCATAGGAATCCATGAGGGTGAAGAAGAAAATACACAGGAGTTGGAAAACCTATTTGAGGGAATAATTGAGGAAAATTTACCTGGCCTTGCTAGAAATCCAGATATCCAGGTGCAAGAAGCTCAAAGGACCCCTGGAAGATTCATTGCAAAGAGGCAATCACCAGGACACCCAGTCATCAAACTTTCCAAATTAAACATAAAAGAGGCCCTCCTACCAGCTGTAAGCCAAAAATAACAGGTCACTTACAAAGGAAAACACATCAGATTCATTGCAGACTTCTCACCTGGGACCTTACAAGCCAGAAGGGACTGGGTCTCCATTCTCAGTCTTGTCAAACAGAATAATTACCAGTCTATAACTTTGTACCCTGCAAAACTAAGTTTCTTATACAAGGGAGAAATAAAGACTTTCTCAGATAAGCAAACACTGAGGGAATTTGTCAATACCAGACCTGCCCTGCAGGAAATACTCAGAACTGCATTATACATGGATCAGCACAATAGTCACTCACCAGTATAGAATTACCCAGAAGCTAAAGGTCAGAGCCCATGTACCATAATGGCTCAAGTGGTAAAACAAAGCAATAAAGTTCTACTCAATAGGAGGAGCAGAAATCCACCCCAATTATCAATTCTTTCAATAAATGAGAATGGTTTGAACCCCCCAGCCTATGTCAAGTAGGCTGGCTGAATGGATTAAAAATATACAAGCCAAGGCCGGGCGTGGTGGCTCACGCCTGTAATCCTAGCACCCTGGGAGAACGAGGCGGGTGGATTGCTCGAGGTCAGGAGTTCGAAACCAGCCTGAGCAAGAGTGAGACCCCGTCTCTACTATAAATAGAA